TCTACTGAAATTTTGAAGTAACTGTTTGCAGAAGCATTCTCTGAAATTTGGGAGCTCTTTTGCTCTTTCAGTGTAATTAATCCTGAAAGGCTGTGATGAGGAAGGGCAAACGGATATTTGAAAAATAAATGAAATGGTATTTATGTATTCAGCATTTCCAGTGAGACACTGTCAGTCATTTATAAAGTTCAATACTAACATAATCTGTAAGATAGAAACGATATACAACACCTCTATAGTTTTCAAGTGATACCCAAACTCTGCTAGTAGCCTAGCAGAGTTACTTGTAACTGCAGTAATAATACTGCAGAGTTACTTGTAACAATATAATAGCCAAAAAGAAAATAGTGATATTGCTAGCATTAATTTGAACATACATGGTGTTAAAAAGATATTATGGCATGCATTTTGGTGTGCTGCTCTAGAAACACTGAAGAACCACATAAAGATCATATCTTTTCTGAAGGGGTTTTGAGTTGCCTCACATGTAAAGTTTTTAGCCAGCTGATCAGTGGACTTACTACTAAGTACCATACATCAGTTTCCACAACAGCACAGATTAGCTATCTCTTGCTATCCATTGTGTAAGCAATAAAGGTGCTGAACTGTAAATTACTGAGGACAAGGAGGATAAAGAATTCCTCTGTCACTGGGTTGGATAATTCCATGCAAGTATTTTTAATGCCCAACTTTCTAACAGGAGTGCGTGCATACAAAATTGAAGAGGTTAAAGCCTTGATGAAGATAGGCTCTAATCCATCAAATCACTTAAGCACATGTTTAGCTTCAAGTACATTAACAGTCTCATTGAAGTAAAAGGGGCTACTGAATAGCTTAAAGTTAAGCAAGAGCTTAAGTGATTTGTTGGATCAGGTTTTAATGCCCTTTCACTTCGGTCATTTGGCCAATGAATTGAAAAAGTATTACTGAGACAAATTCAAGCACAATGCTATTTAGCATAATTGGGATTTCAAGAAATGCCTCAACTATAAAGCTTCTTTATTTGTAGTTTTTTTTTCCTTTCAATATGTCTAGATTTCATGGTTCTTAATTTCAAGAGGGGACAACAAAACACATCCAAGTAGGCACAAGGGAATTATGACACCACTTTTCAAGGTCTCATATTTTAATTGTTTCTTCCTAGAATACTCTGGATAATTTGATTAACACTTTCAAATTGGGAATTAGATGTTTATAGTACAAACGATACTTAGTAACAGATATACCAGCAGAGTTAAAGCACCCCAACAGCATTACATATCTAAGTCTATAAACACTCCCTTACAGAAAAAAATAAAAATAAAAAAGGGCTATACTTTTCAACTGTCACCTGCCTAGAACAGCAACAAATCTCTTCCTAATCATTTGTCCTGTGTCACCTAATGTACTATTGCTGCTTTTTTTAATCCATGAACAAATTCTAATCTCTGTGGAAAAACTAAAAGAAAATTAAAGAAAAATCAGCCCACTCACTCAAAAAAGCATATTGTACAGAGCAGTCATTTACTTCATGTCTGTACTTTGTTACTTTTCATATTTAAATACCTGCCTTGAAACAAACCCTCTGTGAAGTGACATGCTTAATACTGGGCTAAAATTGTGAGGTTAAAAATAAACAACCTTAAATAAAAAAAACCTAGTAGCATACACCTGTGTGTGCTGCTTTAAGGTGTATCTTTAGTTATTTACTCAACTATACTCAAAAGATATGACATCATGTAATCTGTACTTGTTCCTTACTGGAATAAGGGCACTTATTTGGGGTTGCAGGAAGATCCTATAGCCTTTGTTGAGGTTAAATTCCTATGACTTCAATGTCATCTCAGACTCCAATACAATGTTTCTAAATGCTTCAGCAAGATAAGGATATTGGTCAGGCCTGATCTGGCACCCTGGCTTATAGTGCTGAACAATTAGTAGCACAAAGAGATTCCGGATGAAAGAGCTAAAAAGGGCAGAAGGAAAAGCCCTTCTCTTAAAAGATAAGCTGTTCATCAGGAGTATTTCTGCACGGCGTTTTCTGTCCCTGAGCATACCACTTCTACTGATCTAGTGTTGTGAAGGAGAAGGAATCCTTGAGGCTGAAAAGGCTTTGCTTTAAAGGACAAGTGGCACACAGAGAATATGATGCAAGACTCAATGTCTGAAACTGAGAAAAAAAATTGGCATTGCATTTGGTATCTTTTGCTAGTTTACTACTTTGATCAGAAGGATTATCACTCATTCTCTACATTCACCTTCACGTTTACTAGCCAGCTTCTAGCTGATGCTTGCATGTATTTTGCTCTGGCAGTCAGAAGAACACAGGTTTTTAAGGAGTTTTGTGTACAGCTGCTCTGATGGTCTGCTCTTCACAGCAAAGAGAAAAAATCACTCCTGATTTGTTCCCTTTTCCGAACAGAAAGATCACACGGTAATTGTGCAACACCAGACTCTCCTACAAGGCATGTTAACCATTTTATCAATAGAATAGTAGGAAATGTATTTTTTTCATAGAACATGAAGAAACTTAGAGAAAGAAGGGCCCAGATTTTATCCTGCCATTCTTGTAGGACGGCAACCTCTTCTTCTGACTTAAGGATTAAATATACTTGTGTTACTAACTTTCCTAAAACTTTTCAGAACCAAAAATATACTGTAAAGGAGTTGAGTTTATTTTCAGTATTCAAAAAAAAAAAAAAAAGAGGAAAAACTGCTATCAAGCTGCCCCTTGTTCATATACAATCTTATTTTTATTTTAACATTTTCCTAAGCGTTCCTGTTTCATACCCTACCAAAAGAAACATATATGCTTTCTACACAACACCACAGCCAAAAAATTGCATTTCAAAAGCCAATAAACTCAGAAATATACTTTATTCTTTTCATTGTCTGCCATGGTATTTATATCCATGGTATTCATTCGGCTGCAATCGTGGCATCTTCTTTGTACAAGAGCAGGAGTCCAGACTACTTGTCTGTGCAGTGATGTGGTCTTATCAACAGGGAACTCTTAACAGAGAAAAGCAATAACCTGAAAATAATAAAACTGCTCCCTGCCTTCCCTCAGTTTTCCTCATCAGATTGGCCAGGATCGGTCCTACAGAAGTATGTTTCTTACAGATCCTGGCTTCACATAAAACCATGCCTCCCTGTTACTGGTTTTATGTTGATTTCTTTGAATTTTACCCATGCTTAGCAGAATATTGCCCCCAAACAGTCATGAGTACTAAAACATCATCAAGAAAAAAAGGGTCACTGCAAAGTGCACTCATTCCTTTTGGAACCCGCCCTGACATTCACCAGCTAACTTTCCCTGTTTTTAGTCTCAGGAGCACAACTAGGATCCTCTTACTAAACAGATGCATGCCAGTAGGAGAAAACTAGAGGTAGCCACTTCTTCAGTAACATATGTTAGGCATGAGATTATTAATTTGTTTTTGCTGTTTTTCAGCTCTTTGGTCATATAGGAATGACTTATTTGACATGAAAGCCCATTAGTACCCACCACCAATTACACTCCAGAATGAACAAGTACAACAGCCTCCTTCAGTGAAATTGACAGTGAAGAGGAAAGAGGACCTGTCCACTTCCCTAAAAATGGCTTGTTACTATCAGAATTATCTCTGTCTTAATGGAGCTTTAATCTGCTAAAAGCAAGTGGGAAGGCATTGAAAAAACAGAATGAAAATTTCTGGTTTCTAAACTTGTAATTTCATTAAAGAAAGACAAAAAGAGCATCTGTTAAATACAGTTGCAGATTAGCCAAGAAGAGAGCCTCAAGTTCAATGATTTTGGTGTCCTCTACTGTAAATCTTATTGGAGAGCTTTCCAGATAAACTCTAAAATACAGAATTATAGCTTTCAGTGTTAGTAACGTTGTTACTGCTCTTGAACGTGCATTACAGAAGTCCATTGTCA